TCTCAAAAAATGCTGCGTGAATAGCAAACTATCTAATTAAAAAAAACTATTGAAATAATTTGATGTTTTGGAGGCACAAAGAAGAGCTATACTTAGCATAAATATGTTAATGAAGCGATCGGGCTTTTCCTCGTTGCAGAAAATTCTTTTTATTCAAAAGCAAATGCCATTTGTTTTTTAATAAAAACAATTTTCTGCAACGAGGAAAAGCCCGATCGCTTCATTTCCATGATCATCTCCTCGAGTGTCAACTTCTTCAAACAAACATAAATATGTTCTTTAAACTAGAATAAAAATTAAAGTAAAAATCATTAAAAACCTTTTTAATTATTTTTAGTTTTACAAAAGATTATGAAAAACAAAAATAATGAGAAATATTTTAAAACTGCACTTTTTAGCACTTTTTCAAGTATTTCTGTATTTCAAGAAAAAGAGAGTAATATTTTTGATTAATACTTAATCTTCTCACAATCAGTCAAATAGAAAATTGGAGAATTAAAATAAAAAGATATTAATTTTGAGTTGAATCAAAAACATAATTTGGCCTTAAACAAGACAGAAAATCAATTTTCAGCCTTTCAAAATCGAATTAAAGAAGCGTGAAATAAATTACATTATTTTCAGGTTGACCTAGGCTTTTGGTTTTCACATAATTACGAAGTGCAGCCTCCGGAAAATCACGGCACAGCGGTGAACCCCGGTGTTTATGGCCCTCCTTCCTGCGTGTGTGCTCGCTTTGCATTTTATGTGATAACAGGGGTCGTAAATTTCCTCTCGCGCTTTGTTTTCCTCCTCCACCTGTTCGCGTCGAGTTCAACTAAGCACGCAAACTGTGCACCCCTGCTCGGACCGAATGGCCCATCAAAACGGCAATTTAAGCGCACTAATCGCGACGGGCAATTAGCGAAACAAATTAATTGTACGCGTATATTTCATAAATTTGTTGGGAAGGAACGCGATAGTTAAATTTGCCTTCTCTCGTGCAGTAATTCAATCTGCACTCAAATCAAGCAGGGAGTAAAAGGAAAGGGGTGTCAGAGCCAGACACCATTCACCCTTGATTACCAACACTTGTGCAGAGATGACTTCTGATTTGCCGCCGTTCTTTCCTTGCCCCAGAAAGAAGAGGAGAAAGCAACGGGTGGATTCTTCAAACGGAGAAAAGGAACTGACGAATTTTTAGAACTTGCGAAGAGAGGAAAATTTTATTCAACCGCAAGCGCCACTGAATTGAATCTCCATTACCATTTGAAAACGATAGTGAGCTGGATTGTTGAAATAAAATATATTCAGTTTTCTCATTTTCTATTAAGATGACCTCAACCAAATTACTTGGATTACAATTATTTGATATTATTCATTATAAGAGGACAAAAAATTATGAAATGGGTTGATAATACGTTTTGCAGAAAATTACTACTTCACTATTAAATTATTCAATTACATTAAAATCATGGAAAATTGAAAAAAAAACTTTCAAAGTGAAAAAATAAATTATTAAACTGGACTAAGAAATATCAAATAACAAAATTTTAATATTCTTTAATCAGGGAGCATAAAAAGACTAGTACTGTAGGTTCTCTTGTAAGTCAAATTTTTGAGAAAAAATTTAAACCTCGTTAATTGATTTTAATATTTTTTTTTCTTTAAAGAATGAATTTTGAAAAAATTAAAAGACTTAAATTAAAATTAATGTAAATTTTAACTTAGAAAAAACTTTGATGAAATTTTTAATTAAATTTGAAAAAATTTAAATACTGCTATTAACGTTAAGGAAAAGATGCACATTTTTGTCCAGTCTCACCCTGTTTCTGCGTATGGCACATGAGGCACCACCAGCGGGCCATCCACTCGCCCCCGACGGCCACGATGGGGGCAGAGTCGGCAGCGTTGTTGTTGCTCTTGTCGTTGGCGCCGGCAGAGGACATGGATGGGTCACACCTGTTGGCCCACTGACTGAGTGGCGGCCAAGTGACCCGCTCCTCGCCCTGCCGCTGCCCCACCCCCGCCCACCCCAAAAGAACCGCCCTTGCGCACTCACAACCAGAAACAACCCCCACAGCATCCGCCAACGTTCCTCTAACTAAACTAATGGAAACTGCGCGTTGGAGAGATTTTGGCGCCAATGTTTACACACATTGCGGAATTAGCATGAATTATAAACAAAACCATTTTATTATTTCAATGTATGATAATTTTCTTTTAATCTAAATTTCAAATGGCTCATTTTTACCAAATTATTGATGTAAAAAAAAATTACCTGTTTTGCTTCTCCTCAGGCTTTTGACTCGAACGAAAATTCTCGGAACCATTTTTTCTGATAGGGTGGCTAACGACTGGCAGCTCTCGGAAAACTGTTCCTCTTTTGCGAGGCAAACAAATATATATGCCTATACTTTGCCTTCCTAACTGCGTTCTTCCTTTACCAGCAACAAAGTGATAAACATTTTCGGCAAGTCAACGACCAAACAACCTTCAGTTAAAACAAGCGGTGGCTCTTTCAGCCGCAGAAACCAAGCGAAATTCAAAACCATTGGGTATTGGATATATCGAATTGCAGCAAGTCGGTGTTGTTGGTGCACAAAGCATTTTTAATTCGCGTAACAAGGGATTAAGCCGGTCAGATTTCGCATCGGTAGTTGTGTGGGTTGACTTTTTGGTGTGTGCCAATGTGAGGATTATTGAGCAAGCAGGAAACAAATGTAAATCTGTGCTTACCGGAAATGATTCCGTCCATCTGCTGGAGGGCGGCTTCCAGCATTTTGCTCGCGTCCGTCAGTGGACTAGTGGCGGAAGACAGGGTTGGACGACCGTCGTCCAGTTTACCCATTTTTGCTCAAAGAAAAGAGCACCTGGAAAATACAAGAAAATTAATTAATAATTCGTCTAGCTAAATTTAAATTAAATAAATAAATATAAATTTGATTACTTTAATTTTATACATCAAATTGCAATATTTGGAATTTAGAAGAATTTTGTAATTTTTATAATTTTAAGTTGAAATATTATTAGTATTTTTTTTAATTGAGTAAACAAAAAAATCAAACAAGACTCTCTGAAGAAGATGGGGTCTTTCTGATCTCAAAAGTTATAGCTCTTTTCTAGTGATGCTACCTTTTTTTCAAAATTTTAATATTTCCTTCCTAACTAATTTTCGTCCTTGTAAAATTTTTGTAACGAATTGGACGACTTAAACAATAATAATTGAAGAAAGTTTCATGCGCAAGAGCGAATTTAATTTTTAAATGAAATTTATGACCAATTATTTTTTCAGATTTTGTCTAATAAATTGAATCTGAGCCAAGATAAATGTGATAAAGCAATAAAATATTCATTTAACAAAAATTGTCCAAATTATTACAGAAGATACTTTTGTAATTCGCAAATTATTCCAGAATATTACCAAAATATTTAAGAAACGCAACAGGTAGCATTTTAAGAGAGTCGTAGTTACTTCGGTGATGCGCATTTCCTTAAAGTTAGTGCGCAAAAAGGGCCAGACGCCAGACCAATTTTCCTCGATGATCAATGAGAGGAAAGCGATCAATTTATCTATTATTGATGGCAAAATGCCGCAGATAGCAATGGGGGAGAAAACAATCTGACTCTCCCTTGTTTGTTTGATTTTTGTCACCAAGCGGCGCGCGTCCCCCAGTCGAAATCTCCGGAAAAATATTGCAAATTGTTTTGCTCGCGCGAACAATTTCCGCACGTGCTCAATCTGGAAAAGCGACGGCGTGTTTACCTGTCAAAAATGGGTCGGAAGAAAAGCGCGACGTTCGAGTCACACGCACCGAGATAACACACTCCTCCTGCTACAAGACCAAATAAATACAAACACACGGAGAGAGACCCATTGAGTGCGCGTGTTGCCAGATTTTTTCGCCCGCCGTGGCCCTCGAAGGCGAGAGCGAGGTCAGGGCACGTGGAAATTGCAACAGCGGGCTTTGCTCAGCGCCCCCTGCTCGACGATCCACGAGTTTCTCTCCGGCGTTTAATGGGCTGTGGCGCGCTGTTTTCCCTCGGCTTGACACTACGATTAATCAAATTAATTGATTTCCGATCCGCTGGGCCAGGCAAAATGCGATTTTAATCAAGTGGGCCAGGAATAAAATATAAATAATTATGTATTCATTTTAACGTAAAAGTTTGGCGTGATGCAATTGATGAGAGGATAAATAGAAATATAATTTTACTAAATTTTATATTTTGACAAAATGTAGGAAAAATTGAAATTAAAAATACTAAAATACATATCTGATATTTTAAATTTTCATGTTGCATTTGTTTCGATAAAATTTTTTCAGTTTTGAAAAAAATCATAATCAGGGTGAATCCTTTGGGGTCAGTTGTCCTTTATATTTTTTCATTTTTTCTTTGCAACGAGGTTCGCCCGGTTTCAATTTTTCATGAATCCATTGTATTTATTTTTAATTTTTTAACTTATTGTAATCTGCCGTTTTCTGCGCTTATTATAAGGTTTCGAGAGAAAACTTAAGACAGCAATTCTGCAACATAAACAGTTGCAAGATACAGTCATAATTATTTAAGTTTTTTGTTTTAATTTTTTTAAACCTAGATTATGTATCGTTTTATACTTATAGTTCAGCAAAAACACTATTTTCATTGTTCATTAATACACTCCTAAATATTTTTTTTATTGTTATCATTTTGCTCATACTAATACAACTAAATAGTAAAAAGCTGCATTACTCAATTTAATGTGCAACATAATACTAGACTTTCTTAAAAAAAAAAATAATAATACGAGGATAATTATAAAAATTGTATTGTTCATTGTTACGATCTCACAACATGTTACATAAAATAGAAATATGAATATTTAACTGAGACCATCGTCTTTGTTCGATAGGTTACCTCCAGGGAATGCACCGAACCAACAAATTTATATTATTTATGATTCTATCATAAAAATAAATCCAAATTTTTTATTTTGGATAATTAAAATTATAAAAAAATCCCATTTTTTATTTACCAAAATTTTGAATTTCAGATATTCAGGCATGATAAATCAGCTTCAATTTATTGGAAAATATAATGATCTTTTTTATTTTAGTTCCGACAGGGTTCATGTGTCACATAAAGACCTCCTAGTGGCTATTTTGGAGTGTGTAGCACAATCTAAAATAAAATGGAACTTAATTCCATTTCATCACAGTGTAAATGGAAGAGATATCGGTGAACAGTGAAAGATTATTAATTGAGTCTAGTGGTACATATTGCTATAATATTCCTAAACAGAAATGGAAATATTTCATAAATTAAATTTAATATCTAGAAATTAACTTTGGATCAACTAACGAAGCTCTGTGGTGAAAATGAGGATGTATTAAAATAATAATAATAAAGCAATACTTCAAAATACAGGTAAACATATTTTGTGAGTGGGGAAATAGTTGAAAAGTATTTATAATATATTATTGAATTTACGCAAAGTTTTGGTTAAACGTGACATGAAAACATAGACACCTAGTCCGAAGCACATACAGTACACTCAGCAAAATCCTTCTTGTAACACATTAGACAGTAAGTCTTTAAAATTTGTATTAGAAATAATTAATTGTTTTTAATCCTGCTAAGTGGACATCAAAAAGTGCACATTCAGAGGAAACACATGTTAAAATATAAATTGGTCTTTAAACAGTTGTTACACAAAGTCTTATCGCAGAGAGTCTCGGCTTAAAATTTTGATAAAAATACGCATTCAACCGAACCAACACGCAGTTGTGGCTGAATAAAATATTAATTATTGATTTCAAATCAAGTCCTACACTCTTGAAATGCTCAAAACGCTACATTCAGGACGTCAAAGAGTGGTGGAAATCACAGCGCTCACTCCGCGCACCAGTATGGTTGGCGGCAGCCCTTGTGTCAGCTCGGTCAACAGGTTGAGATAAGCTTCTGCAACTGGACTCTCTCCGTGCACTGCGTCCGGAGGACTGGGAAGATAGACGAAAATAGCAGCACTGTGATCAGACTTCTGACGAATCAAGTGGTTGATCCTAAAAAGACCAAAATTGAAATATAAATTTTTAATTTTTGATCGTAATTACCCTTGCATGTGCTGGACCGTCGGAAGTGGAGGTGGTCCCTCGTGGCTCTCATTAGGGAACTCCCAAGAAACAGTGTGTAGTTGAGCCGAAATTCGCAGTTGCTGCAGCCAGTACTGCATTTTCCTCTCCGTCTGGTTGATGTCTGGCTCAATCTGAACCTCCTCCACTTGAGATCCTGAAATACATTTTTAATTCAGTATTCTTAAAGTATTTGTGCTTACGGCTTGGTCGACTAAAAATGGCAAAAAGCTCGTCAATCATGACTAAAAATTGTTAACGTGGCTTACATGACACAAGACGTTTTACAAATTTTAATTAGCTTACCTGATGGCAAGCCATCTCTGGGAGTGCACAGCATAACTCGCAACTTCAGTTTCTTCCAACTTGGCGTCTAGAATAATAAAAAAAAATATGAAAATTATTTTAATCATACAAAATTATAGTTGTTTACTATATAGTATATCATGTAATCTTAATCACCATATTGATAATGCAGGCTAATTGCAGCATAAAAAGACTGCTCTCATCAAAGGGATCCAGTTCTGATGGGTTGAAAAAGTTGATCGGCCAGACGTCAATGTAAGTGAAGTTGCTGTTTGACAGACTCGACTTGTCCAATGAGTGGAAATGTCTGCACAGAGCAACATTCTTCTGCAGCTTCAGAGTGTCGCAAATGATGCCAACATACTCTGAGTGTGTCAGCATTCGATTATTCTCATTTCGCAGGGTGAAAAGCGGTGCGCCGTTTGAGGCAATATTGCGGAAAGCCTCGCTTTGGTATGACGAGTCAGCACTAAAATTTATAAGTTTAGAATTTCCTTTTATAGAAGTTTGAAATATCAATACCTTGCCAAGAAGTCTCTGGGCTGACTGCTGTCGTAAAATCCAAGGACAATGGTGTTTGGTTTCATTGCTCCGAGCCCCGACAGACGCACCAAGTGTCGCATTCCCTCTCGAACAGAACGGGCCATTGTAAGCTCGACAAAGGCTTTAACCTTAAAAATTAAAATTAAAATTTGTTCTTTGAACAAAATGTACGTTTCTTACTTTCAAGTGATCAATTAGGGCTAACCAGTAGTCCGTCTCCTCAAGGGCAATGTCATTTTCGCACTCCTCGAGAGTGCCGATTTTGACGTGCCCCAAAACGTAAAGTCCTGACTTCTTCAGGTCATTTACAAAGTCAATTAGTGGACATGCTGAGCGAGGGCTTCCAACAAGCAGAAGCATTTGTGGCCTCCAGAATTTTACATGGGCCTTTCTTGAGTCAAGCAGCAATAAATATTTCCTAACCTATAAAACAATTTTTTTTTCTTTTCTCAAGTTTTATTTTAATCAAACCTGATGGAAGATTAAAGCTTGGGAAATGGATCCCCAGTTGGAAGCCTTAGCTGGCGAAAACAAGTGCAGAACAACCACAAGTAAAAGACAGAGCGCCAGTGAGCATGAAGCATAGACTGGATTAATGATGAACATCATGATCAATGTGCCGACCAGCCCGATTAGAGCAGTGTGCCATGTGAAATATTTGAATGATGGCCTGTAAATAAACTTTAAGCAAATTTTCAACTCTCAATAATATATTCACAAACCTGAAATTGGGAGCAGAAGCAAGTTCGAGCCCCAAACAAGCCAGATTCAAGGCCAGGTAAGAGAGCAGGAAAAGGACTGAATTGATCTGGGCAATCAAGTTGAGCGAGCCGATCAGGAGAATCAGCTGAACAGACACCCATGATATGATGACGGCGACCACTGGATTGTTAGCCCAGTTTCCCCTCACAACAACATTGAGCAGAGAACCTTAAAATATTTTCACCATTAAAATCATGTTCAAAAATTTAAAAAAATAAATTATACCAAAAATATTGTCTTTAGCAAGAGCTTCCAAAACCCTGCTTGAGCCAATCAGATTGCTGAGGGATGCCGAGAATGTGGCCATCAGAACTCCAATGACCACAAAAGGCGGCCACAAGTTTATGGGCTAATAATTTTATAATTATTTAGTTATTTCATTTTGAATGATAAAAAAATATTTACCTGCATAAAAATGTAGTCGTTCTGTAGAAGTTTGGGTGTGCAGGTGGCTGCAGTCAGAATGCTGATTATCACATAGCAGACGAAAGTAAATGCGACTGCCGACAGCGTTCCTCTTGGAATGCTCTTCCCTGGTTCTCTCAACTCCCCTTTAATTAAAATAATAAATTAATTTTAGACAAAATTGGCTTTATTGACAAACCTGACATGTTGGCCCCGGCCATGATGCCAGTGACGCCAGAGAAAAGCACACCAAACACAGCAGCAAAATTTGTCATTTCCCCGCCTGGGACCGTGTAATCGTTAACATATTGTGGCCACAGATTCGAGTACAAGGTTGTTGAATTCAACCCTGTATAACTGGCAGTAGAGTTTTTGAACAACTCGTTGGCGTCCGGTATCGGAATCTATTTAAGATTAAATAACAATTTAATTATACAAGAAAAAAATAGTTGTTTACCTCAAAAGATCCTTTGATGAAGAAACTGATGATGCTGGAAAACACGCAAATGCAGACGACTCCAAGCACTGCAACGCTGGTTTTTGCAAAGAGACCGGCGCCAATGAGGCACACGCCCAAATTGATCAAGTTGAGGACGGAGCAGTACAAAAAGCGCCACCAACGCCCATCGGGAATTCCAGAGCTGTCGACGCCAACCAAATAACCTAAATTAACAAATAAAATAATCAAAATGATCCTTACTGTTTAAAAATCTAATTTACCTCCTGCACTGAAATTATCGACAACCCCTTCAATGCAACCTGTGATGTACAGTGCACTGCTAACGATGTTAGCCACAAAGAACAGTGTGCCGATTGAGCCTCCAAACTCTGGGCCAAGAGTTCGACTGATCATGACTGTCATTTTCACAAAGAAATTATGTAATTTGTTGTTTAATAAAAATTAATTACAAAACATACAGTAAGCGCCTCCTCCCTCGACAGCTCCATTGGTCGATACTGCACATACTGAGGCGACGGTGAAGACCAAAATGCAATAAGCAATCAAGAACTGTAATAAAGTGGTCAATAATCCTGCATTTCCAACGATGAACCCTAGAAGACCACAAGAGGAATTATTATTGATCGATTTTTCTTTTATGAAAAAAATTCAAAAAAAAAAATAATAATAATTTACAGTAAATTAATATTTTTTTACAACTTTAAATTGACATACCAACTCGAAGAAAGAGTAAGGCGCTGAACATAGACAGGGCGACCGGGCTGAAAACTCCGGCAAAAGTGCCAAGGGTGTTGCCCTGGTTGGGCGTCTCAAAGAGACCCTGGAAACTGTGAAACAATCTCCTCTGATGGATAAGTGGAGATTTCTCACTTCTCGGTTCTCCGAAGCTCGCTGCATTTGTCGAATTGGTCGAGCCGATCTCGGGCGCTAACATGATCTTTTAAACTTATCAAGCGACCTGAGAAGCATTCAGAACAAAAGTGAAAATTAATTTCCGAAAGGAGAGCGAGCAGTGCGAATGTGTTCACTCGTGTGAATCACCGGAGCAGAGGCGGAATAACGTAATCAACGCAGCGCAACCCAAAATCATCATCCTCTTAATTCTTTAGTCCATAAAAAAAATAAACATTAAACGCGGAAATTCTGATCTATAGTTCACCATTAAAATCTGTAATTTAGTTAGAATTAAATGCAAATAACTGAAGGAGGACTTACTCGGACAAATTTTAAGGTGGAAATCACATCAAGGACGACGATAACAGAGCATTATTTTTACACCCACTGACAGGACCGCAAAAATGACAGCAAACCTCAGGCCGATCCAGCTGACTGTGAGTCACAGTTAGTTACGAAAAAGGCCACACCGTTCAACGCAATGTAAATTGTGGCGCTCGAGTCGCTGTTACGGGTTCAAAGGGTTGCGTTCTCTAGCCCGAGCATCTGGTCCTCGTAGTTTCGTTGTTTACAAATTTGCTGCCAGTGATACTGAAAGAACTGCCGATTCGACTGCCACGTGTCACCTCTAGCTGGCCGAATTATTTATTTCTTCATTGAGAGCTTCATTAGAGTTGGTTCTAATTTCTAATCAACCAAATTGTGAATTGATGGTACCGTCAACCCTGGGCGCTGACGTGTAACACGTATTTTCTACACATATTTTTCTTTTTGCAAAATGTATAATTATATACCTATTTTTGCTTAAATTTTTTATTGATTTTATTTTTAATTGATTTCAGAAATTGAGAAAAAATGCGTCAGTTAAAAGGGAAGGTGAAGGAGACAAACAAGCAGAAAAAGGAACGCAAGAAGGAATTCATGGAAAATAAGGAAAAGGTTTTCACCATTGTGGTACCAGTTGTCGCTGGCCTTTTCATGCTTTTGGTTGCCTACGTATATTTCAAAACAAGACCCAGAACTGTCGACATGGTGATGGAAGACTAATACGCAAGAATGGGCCAAAATGACAATCATGCTGGAAGATCGAGGATATATTATATAATTTGTTTTATTTTTACTTTTTCTTTAAAAAAAATTTGAAAATCATTTGTTGAATATTTATTGGATGGAATTCTCATTTTAAATTATATCTTTCTCTGTTCTCCATTGTTTGCACTTTGTTATGATGTTGCGTTGGGATTTTTCTCACTGGATTTTTTTTCAATAAAGATATTCAGATTTTATAAGATCTAAAAAATAATTGGCACAAATTATTTAAACCTTCTTTGTAAACATTTTTAATCTTTTTAATTAAAACATATTTTATGAAATTTTTGATCGCAGCTCGGTGACCATAAGTTTGAAAAAATTAGTTTAGATCTACCATGCTATATTATGCAATTTAATTTTGAACTTGAACTAGGATTTATTTAGAACTGCTATGGGAACCACTGCCATGCACTGCCACTAAAATCAAAAGCAAAACGTTGGCAACAGTGGGCATGCCTGCTGTGCCGGCTATGTTTCTATTCTATTGGCAGAATTTTGGCAAAACAGCAAGCAGTGTTTACTCGGTCACTGACATCTTTAGATTAGAGGAGCAGATAATTTATAAAATACTTGTTACTTAATTTGAAACCCGGCCAGACTTGAGAGAGGCACAGTCATCCGCAGTCTCCGCATTTTGCTGATAACAGAGTAAGCTGATGTGATAAATAAGTATCAGGCGATTCTGATTTTTTTTGTGCCCCTCATTTTATGTATGACTGCACGCGGCCACGCGCGCCTACAAATCGTCAATCAATAATTCACTGAAATATTACGTACTCACTTGGGTTATTAATTTTGTAATTATGAGATCTTTTTTATTTTCTTCATTCATTTTTTGACCTGCTTTATATATTTACCCATATTTTTATGCTATATCGTGTGCATCGTGCTGTACGCTGATAACTTGAAAAAAACTTGCGTGAATGCTTGCTGTTGCGACCAAAATTTTTAATAATGTTTTCAGAATTAAGGAATAATGTCATCGCTAGAAGTCTTCATGATGGCTGGCAGCCCTCCAAGCTCTGCAGTGCTGGCTCTTCTGGCCGAGATCAAAGTTCCGTTCCAATCAACTGAATTAGACTATTTCAATGGGGACCATTTGACTGAGGAATTTGCCAAGGTTTCTATTTTGTTGTTGCTCTTTTTGCTGTTATAAAAATATTTTTTCATTTTTCCAGCGCAATCCTCAAAAAGAGGTGCCCGTTATCAAGGATGGCGACTACGAACTGAGTGAAAGGTATATATATTATTTTGTATTAAAATAATTTTAAATGAAAATTTATTTTAAAATGCATTATTTTCTTTTCAGTGTGGCCATAATGCAATATCTTGCTGATGCTTATGGAGAAAATTTCCCTGACTTGTACCCAAAAGATCCGAAGCGCCGAGGAATTGTCAACCAGCGCCTGGCCTTCAACCTTTGCAATTTCTACGCCAATGTTTATGCCTTTACAGTATAAAACAAAATTGGTTTGATTAAATTATCTAAAACCAGTTTTAAACAGTTTGGGATAGTCTATGGAGGGGATGCTGAAAAAACCAAACCAGCTGTGATCAAATCCCTGCTGGTTCTTGAAACAATTTTGAAAGCCCAAGGAACTAAGTTTGCTGCTGGAGGTAAATAAAGTAAAAAATAAAATAATATGAGGCGAATTGAAAATGATTTTGAGTAGAAAACTTTACCATTGCTGACATTGGATTGCTTGCCACTGCCATTTGCTTGGACGCTGCTGGCTTTGATTTGAAACCATACCCCACAGTGGCCAAGTGGTACGATGAGTGCAAAAATCGCTCACCTGTGTGGGACACCTTTAAGACGTGTCGAGACGACTTGCACGACTTCTTCAACAACCCTCCGAGCAAGGAATTGATTGAAAAAGCAGTGAAAAATCGTGAGAAAAGCTTTGAAAAGTATGTAAATCAAACACTTAATTAAAGTAAATTATAATTTAAAATTATATTCCATAGGTCAGAGCTTTAATCACAGTTAACTGCAAAGTACCTAAATTGAGATGTGCAGGGGATTTTGAATCCGTCCGCAGTTAAAATTTGTAATGGATCAAGTCATTCCGCAAACAAAAGTTGTGTTTATTTGTATGATTTTCTGGTCAATAGATGTTCCTTCAAATAAAAACATCATTTCCGATACAAATTTTGAATTTAATTTTATAATGACGCTAGCATTACCTCCTAAAATTTAATCTTTTTGCAAATAAAAAAATAGTGGTTTTGGTTTCTTTCAATTTTATTCTTCAGGAGATTAACTATAATACAGTAAAAAATTCTGGGCTATTTTGATAATAAAATGATCACATAGATATTTCTGTTCAGAATATAATAATAATTGGTGTGCCTGTCACTACGACTACAATCATTGATCGCTTATACAAAATCAAATCTGGTATGATACTAGAGAAATTAATCAAGAGAATATAAATTGTAATTGTTAACGAAGACACACATCATCTTCTTCACTTTACATAATTAAGCTAGCATTTTCTCTAAAGAAAAACGCCACTTGCTTTGCTTGTTTTATAAATGCGCTGACATGTTTTCCTTGCGGAGTTTGTAACAAAAGATTCGGTCGGTGAAAAAAAAATACGAGTAATATATTTACAGATCCATTTCTGAAAAGACTTTTTGAAACATGTCTTACTAATATATTACTAATTACCTGGTGACTTACTACTTCTCATTGTTTTAGGAAATTTCATCAAAAAGCAAATAAAAAATTGAGCACATGTGAATGATATTCTGTTGGAAATAAGAACAGAAAGTGGTACATTTGTGTTTGTTTATGAGCTGTATTAATTTGTTTCTAACATGAGAAGTATGAGAATGTTGTATTATGAATAAGAAGAGTGGTGAAAAATGGGGTGGAGGGAGGTTTTATGAAATCTACGTCTTGCTGTTCTTCATTGCTACATTACATATGAAAGTAAAAAATGGCAGAATATTGCAGCTGGGAGAGAAATGAATTGGCTTAGCTTTTCACAGAGAAATATTTGTGTAGTGATATACTCTGGTCTCCCATGTGTAACCTGTAGTATTTTTCAATCAACGCGAGTACAAAACTTCCTAGTGAACTATTTGTTTAGAAAAAAACAACCTGCTCAGTTGAACGGTCAAGTTACAACTGACGACTTCGTCATGAAAATCAAAATCAGCATGCTGATATTTGCAATAAGAAAACTTATCGTCGAGCCTTTAAAACTCCCAAAAACTTGTGTGCTACATTATCATACTCCGTTCGTACAAAATAATGCCATTAAATAAGTAAGAAGAACAAAACTACACACTAGCGTATAATAGTGTTATTTATGATATCTCCTCTCCATTTTGCTCTTAAATTTTCACCAATTCCAAAATTTGTTAATAAATTTTATACGACATAATAGCAACAAATAAATATATAAAAAGTCATAAAAGAATGGCTTTCGTTACGCAACTAAATACAAAAGACACACTCATTGTTTAACTGTCACGTAATGATATATAATTGCAAAGAAGCTTCTCTGAATATTAAAGGCGGTCCTATTCATATGGAAATCAAGATAATTAATTCTTATTATTCACCAGTATTCATGTTGTCCAAACCCTCCGATATAAATGGAAACAGTCTTGATACAATTTAAAATATATCTTTTTTTCCAAGGGAAAATTAAATCTTTCCTGCAGGGGGTTTCTTTCTTCACCCCAAAAAAAATCTCTTTTGTGCTAGTTCGTAACATTAATTCTGTTCATCCCCAGATATTACAGTACTAAATAACTCAAATATTTAATTTTCTTTTCTTATTGTTAACTCATATTGTAATATTTTTGGTTTCCTTACATGACCTTTCTTTTGCTTGTTGCCAATATCCAAATAGAAAAAATACTTGATAAAAACTGCAGACGATTGTTTGGTTGGTTTGTTTGTTTACCTTGGCAAGCACTTCACCAGTTGGCCATTCCAGGTTTGTTCAAGGTCATGAAATAAATCTGGCACGAAGATCCACCCTTAGCCGAAGAAAAGAACACCTGAACAAATAAAATAATAATGTCTGAGAATATTCATAATGTTAAATTTTATCTTCACCTTGTCATTGCGTTCACAAAGGAACTTGAGTTTTTGGGCTTTTTTGTGCATAAACACGCCATCAAGATGACCTGACTCCACACTACGAATTTCAATGGCTTTGTTGCCCCAACCCATGATCTGACCAGTCCCAATGTATGCAACAGACGTTGGCATCTCGCCCCATTGCAAAACAATGTTTTTAGACACCTAGAAAAAACTTTTAGCTTGAGATATGACATGGTTATTTAAACTTCACCTTTCCATAGGTGTTCACATAGACACCTTCATTGTCGTAACAGAGCAGAAGCTGCATTCCATTTGAATTTGGCAAGGGAACGATACAGTGAGGTGATATCGGTCCTTGGGTCTGGCAAAAAATATGATTTTTAATATTTTTAACAAGCTAGAGGGCCTTGAACTAACGTGTTTTGGCATGTAGATATCATATACTGATGCAGAATCTAGGTCTACGGCGTGGAATCCGTCAGCAGATCCATAAATCACTTTAAGACGCGTGCCCTCCTCTACAGTTAAGTCAACCAGAAGTGGACGGTGCATGAGTTCTCCAAATGACTGCAAGAGGATTAACGTAAAAAATTGAATTCTCTGGAATTCTCTAATATAATGATTTATACCTTGAAAGCCATGAATTTGTGGTATGGCTTCGGAGCCCACGCGTAGATCTCTATTGATTCTTTCAAGGCTATCACAAGGAATTTGATGCGTTCATATTTGACAATTTTGAAATGAACAGCACCCTGTAGATCTCCGACGTTGATCCAGCCGTTACGCCGTTCCACTTGCTGCAAAAAATGAAAAAAATATATTTACATAAAAATTCTGCAATATATCAAATAACTATATACACTCACTTCACTGCCACCGTCAGTTCTGAGAATCTTAGATTTCAGCCACGACAGATAGTAGACTCTGACTCGATTTTTCTTGCCGGAGATGGTGACCAAAATGTTCTGGCCCTCTAGCACTTCCATCTGTTGGAATCTTCTGCGAGAAATGAGCTGGTAGACTTTGCCCTGGCCACTACGATCCAGGAGCATCAGCCCATTCTCTGTTCCAATCAACAAATTGACTCCTAAAGAAGATTGTGAATTAAAATTTAGATTTCAGATTTCAAGAGATAAGGCTTACCCCAAAGGGCAGCACAGAGGATTTCCGAGTTGAATCTTTTCTTATACTTGCGAATCTCAGGAGTGTCAGACAAGATTTCGTGCGCGGTGGGCGTCACATTGACGTTAACATGAGACTCTCTTCTTGATGCACCACCGGAGCCTGTGGTTCCAGTGTTTGTTCCAGAGCCACCAGCACCAAATCCAAAGGTCAAGAACGACCGCTGTTTCTGCTGAAGGTGGGGATTTTTACTCATAGCTTGCCGATACTGCAAAAGGAGACAAAATTAGATAACTCTTCTATTCTCTTCTCATCAGGGGAACAAACATTGCCTTTTCATTCAACAGATAGATTTAATTCTTGAGATATTATATACATTGGAGGGAATGCCAATTATATAAGGAAGCAAAATAACAAAATTCCATCAGTAAGAAAATAATTAATATCATTTTTTGGCAATGTTGCAAATATAATTAGCAATTTAGGTGCCAAAATCCAGTTAAGAAGTCCTGTTTTTCAAGAGGGAGTTATTTGTGACAAGCAATCAAGTGTATGAGAAAAAAGTGTTTGATATTCAAAGCAGGAAGAGATTTCATAGAAAATGATGGATTTTCAAGAATATTAATTTGAAATACTCTCATATTTACATTCATGTGCCAATCTACGACAAATCCATCATTTCAGAGTCAGCAAGGTGCCAACTTGGAGCTTGAGAAATAAAGAAGAAGAAACCCCAATGTATGTGCAACTTTCGCCACATGTTGTTGCACAATGAACAATGTGTTTCTTTCTGGACGATAAAATATATAAATGCAGCAAGACCTGGTTTAAATTTCTATTGTAATTTGAAAAAATCATGAGACAATGATACTAGTCTAGGAGAAAGATATATTGGTCTAATCGCTAGGTAGATTTTGTGTTGCACATACAACTATAGAAAAAACGAACTGTGTAACCTTAAGCATAAAAGAACGCCACACCAGTGCAAAAACACAAATCTGTCGACAATCAACCCCATTTCCTCACACAAACAAAGCAACTCCAATGGAGTTATGGGTTTTGATTTGCTTTGGGTGTGCGAGGAACCAATCTAATAGAGACAACAGCAACAAAAGAGTTTTGCACAACACAATGCCGTGGCTACTTTCATGTGGATTTGTGATGATACTCACTTGAACAAAAAGACACACCTTGCAGCTCCCCCTCATTAGTGTGGTGTGAAATGAAAAACCGTACCAAAGACAAAATATGATTAATAAAAATGACTCTCGGTTCCGGCTCTTTTTCATTTTTTTTTTTTCATTTCTTTTTCTTTTTTCAACTTTTAAATTTTTTTATCTTTGAAATAATTTAATTTACTAGAATTTTAGTAAGATATCTTCTATGCACAACCAATCAAAATCAGACTAGACTAATTGTTACAACACTAAAAGAGATGGTCAAAATGTTGATAAAAGCCGATTAATTGAAAACACATTGCACATAAAAACTGATGCACATTTCGGTAAAGAATGTAAGCAGGAAAAAGGAATGTGGCATACTGGATTCAGAGTGAAATTTGGTGTAAAAAGGGTGATCCATCTCTCACAAAGCAGTACGTAATTGTTTGTTTTGTGAGAAAGGGAGGATTTGAATTAACTTTGATTCAACTATGGAGAGGCACATAAGCAAATTATATATCTACATTTTAAACTCAAAAACAAAAAAACATTGTTGAAGTAAACAAAGCTCGTACCTCATCACTGGTTGACTTGTCCTGAGACCTCTGGTTTGGTGTGCCCGGACTTGGGGATGCCTGCAACAGATATTTAAAATTTTTAGTTTAATCAGAAATGTATAAAGAACAATTGTAAGTAGTTTTGTCCACAGAATCAAAGTTTTTTACCTGGGAAAGCAAATCTGGTAAGACTGAGCTGGTCCTCGAGCCAGGCGTGTTGAGTTGACCAGGAGACTCCATGCGACTAAAATCACCACCACTCATCCTTCCGCCAGCCATGTCGCCGCGTTGCTGCAGAGATCAAATGCATAATGTTTACTCTCAGTTAGAAAACACAGAGTGAAAATAGCTCATTGTCAACAAGGGAGTCCCTTGCGCTTCCATTATCAAAGATAAACATGAATAATTAATCACGGGTTGGTGACAAAATCAATATTCAGACACAACAGAACATTCAAATTACTTCACAAAACATAAAAAGTACGAACACAATAATTAAATTATAAAAAGTTGATAGAGTGTACAGAAGTTGGGTGTAGTAAAATAATGACTTTTGAGTGATTTCACAAGGGGCTGCTGTCGATTTTCCAAAAAGATCCTAAAGTGATTTTTTGGCGTGAGGACGATCGTAGATAATGTAATTTTGTTGTCCTGCGTGCAGAGTCGATCCTGTTATTTGAAAATTTCATTAATAACCCGGGACCACTCTTGTAAGATAAAAGATACTTGATGTGCATGCCAAGATGGAGTGTTGAAAACGCATTATTTTTTTTTACTTGAAAATAATGAAAATCAACATGAATAACAAGAAGTTGTGTTAACAGGAAAAGAAAAATTAGTGACAACAAAAACTGTTTGGAAATGAAAATGCAAAACGGAAATGCTTGTTAAAAAGAAAAGAACTCATAAACCGAGTGAAAAATTAAATCCTGAGTATCTTCTCCTCTTACCACAGCATTTCATAGTATTAGCAAATTGAAGCATTTAAAGCAGAAGATGGATCACAGTAGCGCCAGCAGGAAGTTCTTAAACGTTATCATGCTGACCCCTTTTCCTGATACTTGAACTGACCTTAGCACCACTTGACAGCTGGGAATCGGGGAAGGAGGAAAGTGCAACAAGTCCGTGTGTGCTGTTACGCCTACGCGACTTGAAATCTGCGGCGGCTGCTGCATTTTTGTCTGCAGCTGGTCTTAAGCCACCTCCACCGCCACCACCAGAACCGTTGCTCTTGTTCAACCTCCACGGAGATTCAGTTTGTTTGATTTGCTGCTGCTTCCTGAATTCAGTCAAAATTGGCTCTCCCTGGGTTGGTTGCTTGGCAACTCCAAAAAGGAGAGAAGATCTGTTCGGAAAAAGGTCAGACTTCTCACGCCGAAGTTTCAAATCGCTCTCGACTCTTCTGTGAGTGATAACAGGTGCTTCGGCAGAAGTCTTGATTTTTGGTTGATTTCTCGCAGACTCGATTCGACCATTGATGTCTTGAAAGAACTTGGTAAAATCCCAGTCCCGAAGCAACTTTTGCTCCTCCGTAGTTATTGACGGTTTTTTTAAAGCAGAAGCGGAAGCAGCAGCAGCGGCGGCGGCAGCAGCAGCTTTCTATGGATTGCATTTAGTTGTCAAACCCTTTCAGATTACATGTGGCCACCTCGGGAATTAGAACACTGAACTTGTGTGTTTAAAGTGACAGATAATTTTATAAATGAATTAAATAATAATTATAAAACGTCGTGCATCAAAATGCAACAAAGAGAATTAATCACTGAAATAATGAACTAAATACACGTGGTAGAAAAAAATTTAGAAGAAAATCTTCACTGTCACCTATTATGTACAATGAACACTCACGACCAAATGCATTTTCAAGTCACACTTACCCTCTTGTGGACCAGGGTGCGTTCGCCACTTTCCTCATCGTCAGGTGTAGGAGGAAGAGGTCTATTAGGAGCACCTCCACTCGGGACTGGCGCTTCGTGATTGGAAGGTCCTTGACCATTTTCACCAGGCCTGAAACAAAAAATTGAAACATTTTGTAGAAAACTGACTAACCAATTTATTTGGGCAAAATATTAAATGCTTCATAATTTTTCACAATGATATTGTAAAGATTACAGTTCTCCTTACAAAGGTTTTGGAGGGTCACTAGCCAAAAGAGTGCCGTCATTGTGGACTCGACCGTCTTCCTCAGCATCTGAATCACTGTCTGGCTGATCTAGCACATTGATTGACTGCTGGTTTGAAGAGCTGGGGTGGTGCGCCGAAGGACCACTCGGCTGATGGATTTTTCCATTTGGCCTGGCGGCTGCACCCAACTCGTTGAGCTGTGCAGCCAAAGCATCCAGGTCTGTTGGCTTGAACAGCTGAGAACTCCTCTGAGGCTGCTGCTGTCGCTCCCTTTGGTCGTCTCTTGGGGGCAAAGGCAGTGGTCGTGACGGTGGTTGTGGATCTGGAACAACTGATAGCAAATGTAAATTCTTCAAAATCTTTAACATGCAGAGTCTGGCTCCTGGGCAGGCCCATTCTTGATTCTAGCAACATGCTCTAATTTCACATGCCACATCAAAAATGAACTAGTTTGAATTACTATATGCACACTTGTATTTCTTTGTTAACGTACCGATGAGTCTCTGTGGAAGGGGAGGCCTGGCAGGTGGGCCAGGGTCTGGAATTTCCTCCCGCTCCCCTTTTTTGCTTCTCTCCCTTGGAATGGGCTGGATAGCCTCCCTCTCACTTTGCGCAATGGCCCTTCCTTCCTGTAACACCAAAATCAAATCCTTAGAATTTGAAATTTGCATAAACATAACTGCATAAAATGCAGAAAAATATTGTAAAAATCGGTTAATAACTGGAGCAAGGTTATAAAGATTAAGGAAACAAGGCCAAGATTTATGGTTTAATAATGCAGTATTTGTATTGCAAAAAGTTTTAAAAGCTCATACCCAACAGGTCTGATTAAGGCCTTTTGTCTTTAGGGCCTGGTGATTAATGTTGGCAAATAACATTATCTTTATCTAAACCACTTTGGGCAATTTGCAAGATAATCCAATAACTTAGAAGGTCAGATAAAAACTTGCCTGGATTTGCTGAAAGTTTCTCCTTAGAGTATTATCACCAGGAGCTTGAACAATAGACGACGGTTCACCAGCCATAGCTGGCTCATCTTCCTCGTTTTCAGATCCACTGTAGCGATAATCATCTCTCTCTGCAAATAAAGAAAATAAAATCAAATTTATTAGTAAAGTAGCAATACCTTAAAAATAACAAAGAAGGGTGAAATTAGATTATTAAGAAATTATAAATGCTTCTAAATAATTGATTGAAGATTACAATCAAGTTAAACAGATTTGTAGCTACCTTTCTCCTTCTTGCGCTTCTTGCAGTGATCAATGTGGTCTTTGAGCTGAATCCTGACTTGACGCTCAGTCGGTTGATCTCTGATGAAGGGGTGCTTCAGCAGCTGTTCTGTATAGGGTCTCTGGTGGTAATCCTTGACCAAGACTGTCTCGATAAAACTGTGAAACTTCTTCGGCCACTTTTTGGACCGTAGTCTTGGTGGAGGGTTTCTTGGGATCAGAAAGAGGGCACGCATAGGGTGTAGGTCACAGAGAGGAGGTTGAGACTCGGCCATCTCGAGAGCAGTGATGCCAAGAGACCAAAGGTCAGAACGATTGTCATAGGTGGCGTCAGAATTTTCTTCGCACGCGATCACCTCAGGTGCCATCCAGTAAGGTGTTCCAATAAAGGTGTTTCTCCTGCCAATGGTTCGATCAAGCTGAGCACTGACACCAAAATCAACTGAAAAGGAGAGGAAGAATTAAAAACTGTGCAATTTTAAATCTGTAAGAAACATGCAATTTTGATTTTTAGAAAACTTGATTATTCATTACTCACCAAGTTTGACTTCTGCATTGTCGGTGAGCAGAACATTCTGGCCCTTGATATCGCGGTGGATAACTTTGTTGCTGTGCAGATAGCTAAGACCTCTAAGAATCTCACGACAAATGTAAGCAATCCACTCTTCTTTTAAACTTTGGCCTTTGGTAGCTGAAAGTTCATTGAAAAATTTAATTTTTGTCAAAAGAAAATTCAATTTGTTTTACATTTGACAAGATCTGTGACTGAACCAGCTCCGCAATATTCCATGACCAACTGGAAATTAAATGCCGCAATTTATAAAAACCCATCATACTATATTTAGACTCTATGACTCACCCATAGCTGGTCATCTTTTCCTGGTGGGCTTTTCTTGATAAAAGCACCATAGTATGTGGCAATATTTCGATGGTTAGAATACTAAAAACAAAATAAACCAAATTTATCTCCAAAAATGAATTTTTTTTAAGAACTCACCTTTTTCAGTACGTTGATTTCTAACTTTATTTCTTCTTCCTCATCCTAGACAAATTAGGATTAAAATACCAATTTACGTAAGTTCAAAAATTCCCTACCTCTGTGACGTCCATAACCTTAATTGCAGCCAATTGGCCAGTCTTTGTGTGACGTCCCTGCAAAAAGGCATCACATTGTTAATAACGGTTATTTTTGTATCAGTGCAAATGCCGCTTATGTTTATTTAGAGTTTGCAAGCCAATTATCAAGCCACTGCATGCAAATCGAAACTATAATTATGCGTATTTATGCATCCACATGTGACAGATGAAAGTCTTTATTGATATCGCTCGTGACATCGATAAAAACTGCAGAGCTATTATTTCCTTATGTATTTCTCTTGGCATGACTAATGCAATAGATGTGCGCATTTAATTAATCCTTTACCTTGTACACTTGTCCATACGTTCCATTGCCCACGACTTCTATCAACTCAAATATCCCAGCCGGATCCTGTGAAAAAGATAAATGAATCACTTTTAATTTGTGCAAATTAAAAAAAAAAATTGGCATTCCGCCCAAAAATTTGTTCGAGAAATAATTTTTTTTTCAAACGCTTAATCAATTCAATGAAAGCTTCAATTAAGGGAATAAGAATTGCTTCAGACTCATGAATTCATTCATAGTAAACACACCCAAAAGCAGACAAAAACAATGGAGTCATTTAAACGGGCCCGTTCCCATGGCAAACAATGCGACCGAATTTTCCCGTGAAATTTCACCTCGGCGCCAAGTTATGCCCGCCGAAGAGGAGCAAAATAAAAAAGGCGAAGTTTAGGGCCGAAATTCTTACCTTCAGGGCACTGAGGTCGATGTCATCCAGCGAGCAATTCACACTCGGGGCTAGATGTTGCGCCATCTTGAGCTGCGGTCCACTGACCTGTCGCTCTTGTCAAAATTATCCGCAAATCGCCCAGCAAAACAAAAACGCTGCTCCGGACTTGTTGGGCATGCACACCATTTAACTAAGTTGCTTCGCTGCTATCTTCTCGACGCACTCATCGTTCTTATCATTCATAAAATGAGATCAAGACGAGAAATCATCACCTCCCCGTGCGAATGTTTCAGTAAAATTCTCAGCACGATCACTAACACTGGTGCCAACCAAAGGACACTTCCTTCACAAAACACATGCCACTGAACGTTTTTGTTTTTTATTTTTTGACAATATATAACTATATTTCACATTATAAATGACATATCAATGCAGATAATTGATTTTTGTCACTTAAAATTTTTTTAATGACGATGTGAATGTTTAAAAAGTTTTTGTAAAGTTGTAAAAAATCTAGATGACGTCATAGTAAAATTAGTCGCTCTCCACCCCAAAGGCAACAGTGCTTTATCGTCAATTTGCAATTTTATACAGAATTTTCAAGTATTTTCAATTGCTTCTTAATCATTTGCGTAATTTAAGCATTTTCCTGTAATATGCGGCCGAATTTTGCCTTTCTTTATACAAGAAACTCGTCTTTTAAGTTTGCTTGAAAACTTGGCAACGTCCTGTTTAAAGACCACCTCTCCCCTGCGCCGGTTCCCGCGCAATTGTTGGCCGCCGCTTGTCGAAGTTGCCTGGAAAGCAACAGTTTTTCTCCAAAGACAACCAACAAATTTTGTGGAAAAATGGCTCACGGACACGATTATGCTAAGGAAAAAGGTAAAATTACGCTTTTCTGTTATACATGCACTGAAAATCCATAGTCCCGTCGCAACGCATTAGTTTTGTGACAGCATTAATAGCTGCTGTGAGATGGACCGATAGACCTAAATAACGCTGTGCGGCTTTGATATGGCTAATTATTACTGTGGCAGCACTAATTAAGACTCAAGTGTGGAAAATTGAAATTTAAAACCCTTTTTAAATTTTATAGATCTGCTTCGGAGTTTCCTTTCGGAATTTAACGTTCAGGAGGGCCGTCGGAAAGTCTTTAAATATGTGGACGCCATGACCCAACTTGCTCATCGAGAGGCGGTATGTATTCATATTTATCATGCCTGAATAATTTTAAATGTGGTTTACACAGGTTTCTATCGAGGTGGATCTTGATGATGTTAACCAGTATAACCCAGATCTGGGCGAAGCCATCCAAGAGAACACCCGTACTTATGTGAAGCTCATTTCCGACATTGTTTTTGAGATGCTACCCACCTTGAAAGATAAAGATGTAAGAGAAAATGTTTAATTTTATTTAAAAATAGTATTAAATTTGTAATAATCTGCTTAAACCATTCTTGGTTTTATTACAAAGAAATTCATTGTGCTATTTCCTATTTCAGGTGCCTTGCAAGGATGCATTGGATGTGTACATTGAGCATCGTTTGATGATGGAGCAGCGCCTTCGTCAGCCTGGAGATGCTCATGACCCTCGCAACCAATTTCCTCCAGAGCTCATGCGCAGATTGTAAGAATTGCTAAAAGTAGTTTTACTCGAATAACTATTCATCTGTCCTTCAGTGAGGTTTTCATCCGCAACCTGTCAAGCGCTAAAGCTGTGCCAATCCGCCAAGTCCGAGCTGAGCATGTAGGTTCGCTTCTGACGGTTCGAGGAATTGTGACTCGCTGCACTGAGGTCAAACCCATCCTGGTCGTTGGCACCTACACCTGTGACCAGTGCGGTGCTGAAACCTATCAACCAGTAAGGATTATTTCAGATTATTTTAATTCTCAAACGAATCGAGTTTAATTTTTTTTTCAGGTGAAATCACTTTCGTTCATGCCTTTGGTCAAGTGCCCGAGTGAGGAGTGTCGCGTGAACAGATCTGGTGGACGCCTGACCCTGCAAACTCGAGGCTCAAAGTTCATCAAGTTCCAGGAAATCAGGATTCAGGAACATGTAAGAAAATTAAAAATTATCCTTTGTTAATTTTTACAATAACCATCATTTAGAGCGACCAAGTTCCGGTTGGCCACATTCCTCGTTCTCTAACCATTTACTGCAAGGGTGAAATTACTCGCCAGTGCTTGCCAGGAGACCACGTTGCCGTGACTGGCATTTTCCTTCCCCTGCTCAAGACTGGGTTCCGTCAAATGGTCCAGGGACTTCTTTCTGAGAACTTCCTAGAAGCTCACGTAATCCGTAAAGATTTTTAGCAATGAAATAGATCTAAATTTATTTTGTAGAGAATTGTGCGTCTGACAAAAACTGACGAGGAAGAGCAATCAAGGACCGAAGTCACTGAGGACGAGCTGAAGGAGTTTGCTGGACGCAACTTCTACTCTAAGTTGGCCGGCAGCATTGCACCAGAAATTTATGGACACGAAGATGTGAAAAAGGCCTTGCTGTTGTTGCTCATTGGAGGTGTAAATCAGAATCAGGGAGGAATGAAAATCAGAGGCTCCATCAACATCTGCTTGATGGGTGATCCAGGAGTGGCCAAGTCGCAGCTTCTCAGTTTTATCGATCGTGTTGCTGTCAGAAGTAAGGAAAATTAATGTTTGCATAAATTACAGTAAATTAAAATTAATTTCAGGTCAATACACTACTGGTCGAGGCTCGAGCGGGGTTGGTCTGACAGCTGCCGTAATGAAGGACCCTCTGACTGGCGAGATGACCCTTGAAGGTGGCGCTCTTGTCTTGGCTGATCGTGGTGTCTGCTGCATTGATGAATTTGACAAGATGGCTGATGCAGACAGGACAGCCATCCATGAGGTGATGGAGCAGCAGACCATCTCGATTGCCAAGGCCGGCATCATGACCACCCTGAATGCCCGAGTTTCCATCTTAGCTGCTGCCAACCCTGCCTATGGTCGCTACAACCCTCGTCGTACTATTGAGCAAAACATTCAGCTCCCGGCTGCTTTGCTATCGCGTTTTGACCTACTCTGGCTCATCCAGGACAAGCCTGACAGAGACAATGACCTTCGTCTTGCTCAGCACATCACCTTTGTCCACCAGAACAGCAAACAGCCACCACAGCAGTTCACCCCGATTGACATCAAACTAATGAGGCGCTACCTGGCACTCACCCAAAATGTTAGCCCGACCATCCCTGTTGAGCTGTCTGAATATATTGTTGGTAAGTGACAGAAAAATTAAAAAATTAATGAAAAATGCTTGTAAAATTACACACCTACAAGTGTTGGATTTATTTTTCTTTATCCTTTCAATTTTTAAAGTTGTTATTAATTTCTACAACAGACGCATATGTGGCGCTTCGTCGAGAGGCTCGTAACAACGCTGACATGACCTTCACTTCTCCTAGGATCCTTCTCGGCATCGTTCGTTTGTCCACTGCTTTGGTGAGTTAAAAGCTTCAACTGAGAATTAACTTTTGGAACACTTGTAATTAATAATTTTTCACAGGCCAAGCTGCGTCTCAGCGAGGAGGTAGAAAAGGCCGACATTCAAGAAGCACTGCGTCTGATGGAAATGTCCAAGGACTCCCTGAACCAGCAGCCTGGTCAAGGCACCAGACCTCGAAGCTCCAGGGACCGTATCTTCGCCATCGTCCAAGAGCTGGCCGGCAACGCCAAAACTGTTAAGATGGTTGACATTATTGAAGCGTGCACCAACAAAGGTTTCAAGCCTACGGAGATTGACGAGACTGTTGAGGAGTACGAGGAGCTCAACGTTTGGCAACTCAACCAGACCAGGACCAAAATCACATTTGTTTAAAGTTAACTTAATTTTTAATTATCACATAAGGTTTTGACAGTAAAATAAAATTTGCCTTTGAATTTTTAATTTTGCATTACATTTTATTGCGATAATGATCATTGAAGAAATGATATTCCATATGGTAGGTGTTCTTAACATGTTAAAACCAAGTACTGCGTAAATGATACACATGCATTGTTTCTCTTTGTGAGGAAATTAAATTAACGTACATTACATCGTTCTAAGTTTATGGATTACTTTGAAGAGACAGTATTTGTTATTGCTGTTCATGCCACAAAAATGGAAATTCCAACTCCACAAAATATATATAGATCTGACAGAACCAATTTGGATCAAGAGTGGCATATTTATTGAAAGCTGAAATGTATTGTATTTACTTAAGAATTAATAAGGGTAGTGGACAGTAATTGTGAGGCTTTATAATTTGCTGAAAACTAAATGAGAGTGTGGTTACAGGCAGTATTTTTGTATTTGTCTAACATGGCAATATAGATCTTACTTTCCGTTATAATATATTCTCCATAATTATATAACATCAGTTAGCCAATATCAGTAATATAAGCATTATTTTTTTCATATCGTTCATCATCAAGTAACATAGGAAGCATTTTGTTTCTCCTTTAATATTTATATTTTTAACCTTACGATTAACACTTTATTTAATTATTTTTTAACTTTTTAATTTATGGCACAGCTTCTTTTTCATTCATTTTTTTTTCAACCAATTGCTTGTTGCTGTTCATTTATTATTTTAATTTTCCTCAAGACGTTCTACTAGTCATCTCAATTCCAATTTCAACCTCTTTTGACCAATAATTAACAGCATTTTCCCACATTCACTAACTTTATCACAGATTTTCGTGTATGAAACAGCGATTTTTCACCATCACTAACTTAAAAAACTAAATGATCAAACCGTTTAACAAAATATCATCATCTTCTCCTACAGAAGTCAAATGCAAAAATAAATTTTAAGCATTTCCCTACCAGTGGAGCTGCATGTTTCACTAAAATTCAGAGCTAAAATTTCTGGTGACCCATGTCATTTTTGGAACACTCTAGTAAAGACAATTTGGCAATATAACATATTGAAACGCACTTTTTCCAATTTAGTTTAAAACTAGGAAAATAAAATCACAAACCACTTTAATGATCACTAATTTCCAAGGACTAAAGCAAATTTTAAATAGGAATAGAGGGTTATTTTTTTCTTTCAAAAATATAAGTGAAATACTGATCCACACAGCCAAATGCAAATTCATCAAATTAAATTTTAGCCAAATACTGCCCAAGTCACACTTTTGTGCTAGTTTTACATGTGACCAAAGAACTCTACAAAAGCAAAGTGTTATTTTTGCGACATGGGTCTCTATATATAAGCCTAATCAACAGCTCCGGTATAAAAAGCACAAAATTCACTGAACGCAAAAATAACGAACGATTCTGCAACAAATCACTTCGAACTCGGTGCCCTTTCCCACTCCCACATTAATTTAGAGTCTAATTAATTAAATCAAAAAAGGAGTCACAGATGACTTAGATGGAGCAGTCACAATATAAATCAATACACATTTGTTACACATCAATTAAAAAATAACTTTAGAACAATAAAAGTTTTGAACTCCGAAATCAACATATTATATTACATGATTTAATAGCAAGTGTTTGTGTGTCTCTCTCGTCAATCTCTAAAGAGCTATGCTGGAGGGATAGGATTTTTTAGTCAAAAGATTTTTTCTCTTACAACAACATATATGAGACGGATCGTCAATCAATCTTTTCATCTTGTATATATTGTGTTATACATTTTTTAGTGTTTTATATTTCAACCGTTGATTTTTGCAAGTGTGTGTCTGTGTTGGTTTTTGTGTATGTATGTGCTAATTTGTGATTTATTTCTCTTTCTCTCTGGATCAAGTGGCCCTTCATGCTAGATGGGGGGCCAACTTGAAGAGCAGAGCCACCGATAAGCTAATTGCCCATAACGCAGTGCTGATACGATGTTGGGTCGAACTGCTTGTTTCCTTGCTACCGGCGTCTCGACCGCCTGTTGGGGAGTGCGATACAGTTCCAGGCTTGCGTCGAATGGGTCCATCTGGGGCAAAAAGAAAAATTGCATTAATTGAGATTTATTAAAAAATATTTATAAAAGTACAAGAACGATAAAAATTCAAGTAAACCGGAAGAATATTAAACTATTAAAAAATGAAGATAAAATATTGAGGAAATTGGAGGAAATAATAAATTATTGTCATATTATTATAAGCTATTTTACATTATTGCATTTAAAAATAAATAAATAAATCTCAAATATCTTTCCCAAATTGGTTAAAATTAACTTTTATTAGCATTTCATTTGCTATAGAAAAAATATTTTAAATCCTAAAAATTTGAAACAAGCTTTTATGTTATTTTTTATTTTCCTATCAGTTAAGTTTTTGAATGACGAAATGCTTTCTTGGAAATAAGTGTTGATGTGTCGTCTTTTCTTCCCGCTACAGAAATCAATAAAGACAGTGACAAGATTGCAGGGTGGTGCTGCTGCAAAGATGCAAATTTTACGCAGTGACGAAAGGCGATGACTACGGGAAATATAAAAAGAAAATTGTTATTTCTAACAATGGGCGTTTTTTATGACACAGCGTGCAAAGGGAGGTGATTCACTATGAGAGGAGGAATCCAGGAGTCGCGGCGCGAGACGCAACACCCCGTGGCGTGGGCGCCCGCCTCATTATTGCCCTGTGCGCGAATATGACGAGTGTGGGCTGCTTGCGGGTCACGGGGTCGGCGGCAATTCTTTTGTTGCCACTTTGCACGCCCGGCCCATCTTCTTGTCTCTCTCTCATCTTGTGTGTGCAAGCGTGAATTAACCAATTATCATATAAACCTCTTAAAAACGGCCTCCTGCTTATTATTCATGCTCAACTCTCAGCAGAGGTTGGTTAAACCTCAAGCTGACAAGAGCAGAGAGAGCGAGACATTTTGCCTTTTATAGGCACATCAGCTGCATATTTTTCCACAAAAAAAATTAAATTTGAATAATATAAAGAAAGATAAACTCGCGATATTTTAAGATTGGCTGAATTAAATTAATATTGAACACGGTAATTTTTTTGTTAAAAACCTTTCCGTTTTTAATTCAGATTTCTAAATAATGAGAATAATTTTTTCCCACAGTCTATTCAACAAAAAATACTCTCAAGAAATAAAAGAAATATACATGGTTTCGAGTTTCAAATCTTCTCGGAGAAGAAAATAAATGCCAGTAGCTGAAAAAATATTTGAGCCTTTTCTTTGCAAAACAATAAAGGACATGGAGAGCAAAGAGGGCGGATGGAACCCCGCGGCGCAAGCAAATAATGAAAAGAATTGTGCACAAAGCGCGGATAATTTAGAGCAGGCGTACCTCCACCGCCAGTGCCTCTGACTCCACCGCCTCCAGAGCCCGAGCCGTCCCAGTTGTCCTCGTCGTCAGGACCTCCGCCGGGGTTCGGCTCAATGCCACCGGAACCAGAACCGTCCTCGAGTACTTGATTGTCCGCGTCTGGCAGCGCACTTGACTGGCCGAGCAGGGCCTGTGAAAGGATAAATGGTCAAACGATCAAAAGGGATCTTAATTAGAGGCCGCAGGGGCTTGAGACTGAGTCAGCGGGGGTGGACCAAAATTTAAGCCATTTAAGGACAAGTGGTGAAAGACGACTGGATTATTTTCATAGACCTTGGAAATGCTGAATAAATAAGATAATCAAAATAATTCTAAATTGGGGTTCAAAATCTGTTGATTTTGATTATCATCATCAAGGTTCGAGGTTCACTCACCATCACAACAATAAAAAATTCTGATTGTTGGCGATTGGGCACAATTTTCCTTGTACCAAATCAGAGAGCTCAAACGAAAATCAAATTTTTATTCCTTGTTGCGATGATCATCAAAAATAAATTAGTTGACATGAAATAAAATTTTGAATATTAATCATTTCAATTAATTTGCAAAATATACAAAATTAATTGATTTCATTATTGAAAATGCGTTTTTGAAACTTTTTGTCAGTTAAAATGCTAAAATAATTATTTAATTTACTTGAGCATTCCAGTTTAAAATTAGATGTGTATCATATATATAATTTTTATCCTGCATCGGTCCAGCAGCAGGTTTTAACTGATTTCTGCTGTTGCAAGACTTTCGGTGTCCATGCGCATTCCCAGCAGTTTGAAAACCAGTCGTCGTCTCGAAACTAAAGATCCCCGCTGCCCATCCATGATGGTACACAGAAGGTATGTGTATTCCTTACACGTCGCACTTGCCGCAGGCGGTCGCTCATCTGAATTATTCTCAAGTCGGTCGGCTTGCCGTTCCAAGGCAGCTCGGGGTTGTACTTCTGCGCTCCAAGACCGGCGCTCACCACGGTCTTGGTGTACCTGCGAATCACAAAACCAATGCACGTGTGAATACAAATTTGGAAAAGTGCGCAGCCCCCGAGGGAGCGACTCAAATCAGGTTAGGCCGCACGCGAAATTGGCACCGCCAATTAAGCCTTCGAGGGGTGGATCAGCTTGATTGGCCCAAATGGATTGGAAATTTTTTCCACGCACGCTTCACCCAGCGGGGCTCGATACTAAACCCTTGTTGGCAACTTTTTGTCAGCACCAAGGGTTGAGCACGCTGCTGAGAGCAGATGAGACACGCACCCTTGAAGAATCGCTGACTGCGTGCAAGAAAAAAATCGCAAAAAAAATTGGGAGCGAGATGCGAAGCTCGAGGGTTTAGTGGCGCGGAATTGATTTCTTATCGCGGAATGAAAGGAATTTTCCGCCTGAAAAAGCGCCGGTAATTAAGTTTTGCCGAATAAAAAAAGTGCTCTCGCATTTTTTCGCAGATGAATGGAGGCACTGCAGCGATGATTCAATTTTCTAGTTTATTAATTTTATTACTATCTTTTAAGTTTTGAAGCTTTTCATCTTTTAAAGGTTACAACACAAAAAACTGACCTGTTTAGAACTGTTAAATAACCAGACGAAGGGCGTAAATATTTATGTAAAAAATAGTTTAAAACAAAAGTATTTGTAGAATCATTACTTGAAACTAAAAAAAAGAGGAATTATGCAATGCCTAAACTGAGTTTTCGGGACATTTTTCTCTTCAACATTGAAAATTCTGGGCTAAAACGTTTCTCTTCTTTTTCGCTTCACCATACATAATATATTATTATGGATGCAGTTTTTGAGTCGAGTGTGGTTGAGAGGAAGATGAATCACCTGCTGGCGGTGGCATGCAGGAAAAAGGGTTTCTCCAGAGCCTAAATTATGCTCCACGGGGAGAAGATCGATTCGCACAGCGGGTCTGTCTCTCCGGTGCACATATTTTCGCCCGGCCCCCGAAAAGGCGTCAAATTGAAAAAGCACGAGAGAGGTGCTGCAAAACTGTATGAATATTTCATGTATCAATTTCAAACGAAAACTTTTGTCCGCCGAATGTAATTTGCATATCAAATGCGGCACTTTATTACCATTTTGCATTCAATGTTGCCGTCATCGCTTTTCGTGTTTACCTTGTGCAATATTATATATACAGAGAAGAAGAGACGTACACAGTCGTAAAATGTATAAATAAGCAGAGAATGAGTTGCCAATGCAAGGCACATGACACATTTCCGGTGTGCAGTTACGCAAGCACCTCATAAACGCGACGGAAGGTGTATGCTAATTAATGAATGACTTTGTGGGAACATCTATCTTGCTAATTTGATAATAATTGCAGCATATTTTCCGGTTGATCAACTAAGGAAGATAATTATTAATTATAGCCACGTTTTAAATTCGTGTCAAGCAAAATACTACATAACTGAAGTTTTTTACTAGTTTAAGTACAAACCTAGGAATAACATTTTTTTTTGTAAATTGATTAGCATGTAAATTATATTTCTCATTTCTCTTTTAATTTTAGTTGTGTTAACCCTCATGACTACACAAATAGGCAACCCAAAACACCGGGAAAAAAACTATTATAAACCAATACAATCAATAAAGACACTTTGCATTGCAACTAAACCACAAATTCATGGTCGGTAGTGTGTTATTATGAAAAGAATAAGAAATCAAAGTTTTCCCGGGCTTTTAAATTCAGAACCTTTAAAAATTTGCTTCTGAATTAGTAAATTAATTAAAATAAAATATTAAATAATTAATAATAATTAGTAATTAGGTAATTTGTCCCCTTCTTTCCACGAAGGAAAATTTTGAATACCTCAATCACAGTTTTCTTAAATCTTCAAACACAGAATTTTAAGATAATTATCCAAATTTAATTGATTTTATAGTTTAATTTTCATTTAATTAATAAATTTCTTGTAGTTGTAAAATAAATTATCAAAAAAAAATATTTATAAAGAAAGGAAATATTATTACCTTAATATGGTTTAATGAAATTGTTGAAAGAAGCTCAATAAACTAGAGGGTATTTGAACTTTTCAATTGAGCAACTCTTTGAGACGCACAATTTCGCAACGGAGCTGCTTGCAAAGCAAATAATTCAAGCGCATTTCTGCGATGAAATTATTGTTATTACCAAGTTTAATCAAGCAAATGAATCAACCGTCGAGCGCTTGGTGATAGGTGCTGCGCGCGACGCGGTGAATAATAACAAAAATAACCCTTTAAGCTCAAATTGATAGGTGTAATAATGTAAACTAGTTTATTAAAAGAGACGAGGAACGTCGTATCGTCGAAACGTGGTGCGAATAACAAACAGTGCAAATATTCAATTTATACATAAGAGAAGAGAGCGCGAATACAAAACACTTCTCTTTCGTTTCAAGCAAATATAATACACTCGGGTTCACAGAGAGAAATAATACATATTTTACACGCAGAGAGAGCCATCCTCCATTTTTCACCAGTGTATAAAAAGAGTTTGGAATACACACAGCAATCTCCAGCACTTTTCGGAACAAGTCTCTCTCTTTCTCGCAAACATACTACATGCATTTTTCATGCATGATTCAAGCAGGATTTTGCAACGAACTCCCGAGGCAGCAATAAATTTCGGACGGACCAGCCAAGGAAAGGAACGCGCTCATCTTCAAAAACTTTTCTCTCTGCGAGGCATAGTGGGAGTTTAAAAAAATTGTACGTGCGGCCCAAATATTCTTCTGCCCGCTGCTGAATAAATATGAGATGACTTTCGTACGAAATGCTGTTAGTGAATTCTCCAGCGTTTACAGTAATGTTACCAGCATTTATCAAGAAAGTTTTTTTTTCAGAACGTCCGTCTGCAGATTATATTTAATTTTTCCTACAAAATATATTGGAAAATAACTGCTAAGAGGATGATTACAAGTTTTTATAACCCAGATAATTATATAACTTACAATTAATGATATAAAATAATTATTATTATTAATGTTGCTTATTTGTCCAAATTGTTACATCACATTTTTTACATAATTAATTTTTTTTTAATTCAGTTGACTTTTTGGCTTATCCAAAAGAAAATCATAAAGTTATGAAATAATTTTGAATAAATTTCAAAATAAAATGAATTTTTTAGATTGGATTTTCATCAGCGCTGCACAGTTTTATTTTGTTTCTTCTTCTTTAACTTGACACCGCATAATAACAAGGCTGCAGCTTTTTATACTTTTGTGCAAGGAAAAAAAAGCAGAAAAGATCCTTTTCCCTTTGCGCTTCCTTTCCACCTTTAATTATGCAACCGAAGTGCTCGGTGTCACCTTTTCGCCAGCCAGACAAAAGGATCGCGAGCGCATTATCGCAGGAAACCAGCAGATCTGGTGAATGCAGTACTTTGTGAAAACGCTGGTTGTTTGCCGTGCACGGACGAAAGAGAGAAAAAGAGAGGCGCTCTTTTATATCTGGAGAAACAGAGGGCCAGCATTGTCGCAAAAATTACGTGCAATAAGCGCGCAGAGAGCTCATTTTACACCTGCTTCAGCTCAGCCAGCGAGCAGAGCTGAAACGAAATTTGATTTGCTCATTCTCCGCTTTCCACCAGCTCGGAATCTTGGTCTCCCCATTTGCGAAAATTGCGCGCCCGCCGAGATCTTTCCCGGCTGGAATTACACTTGGGAACAAAAGCTGTTCATGTGTGCGCCGAGTTAACAAAGAGCAAAAGAGCTTTTAATTATATACTCTTGTATATACAGCTCCTGTGGGTTGTCGGGCGGTCCGAGAGAGAAAAAAAACGCGTGCAATTTCGCGTCGCTGGGAAAAACCGCACAGGGAGTTTTGCACCCAAGTTCATTTGTTTCATTATTACGCATTTTTGTGCCTTTTCCGGTTTGTGTTTACTTTGATGACTGCAGTGAGTACAATGAGATGCAAACAAAACAAAAACACAGTCTTTAATTGTGAGAATATCCTAAATTTCTAGACAACACCATAGGACAACAAAAGTAAATTATACAAGAAAAAATTTCTCGAAAATTAGTAGAAGCAAATCTGAATTTGTTCAACAAAAAAAAAAAATTCCTGTAATATTGCTCAACTTTTAACTGATTTCATTTTTTCATATTATCCCTGCTGTTTCCCATATTGATTTTTTATAAAAAGAGAAAATTGGGCGAAATAAATAACCCATATCTGACCCATATCCTGCTCTAATCATCATACAACAGCATTATAATTTTTATTTTGATCTTATGCTTTTAATTTTTTTAAAAATAAGAAAATTTTAAATTACATTGATAATGAATGGAAAAAATTAACTATATCAAAATATAAAACCACAACCTCTTTAAAATTGGCCTTTTTATGATTAATTTTTATTATAATAAATAAAAAAAAAATCAGCCAGTTCCAATTATTTTAATTTCTTTGGAATTTGCGTCACAAAAAAAAATCAAAATCCCCAATAAAAAAACCCCATGCACACGTTTGTCTTTTTACAAACCATGAAATTCAGTGGAACGAATATTAATGCACCGCTCGCACATCACGGGTAACTAACTCAAGTGAGTCACGCGTGCGGTAAAAAATAATAAGAAACGACAAGTCGTTCAAAAGTGCACATGACAATCCGCCGAGATAAAATCTGGATCTGCCCCTTCTTATCCATAAATTGAGACGCAACTAAACCACATATTAATCGAGAAGATTCATAATGCCACTTCCCTTGCGGTTCGCCGATATCATTGAATGCAGAAAGAAGAGATGAATCAGTACAACATGAGTTCCTTCGCATCATAATCACGCTTTTAATAATTAACTTCTGAAAATATAGATTGCGAGATAAACGAATGACGATGAAAAATTTAACACCTTCCGGTCGGTAATTTTTTTTTTATATTGAGAAGAAAAAAACTTATTTGCAAAATTAATTTCAAGCATCATGGAAGAAGAGATGTACTGCAAAAATATATTTTTTTACCAACAAATGAAGCTGTTTGTAGTTTTTTAGCAAAAGTAAAAATGCAAAAGGACTGCCTTTGTGAATAATGGACTTGACAAACAAATTTAACGCTGGAAAATATTGCAGAGGCAACACGTTGCGACACACTGCTGGTAATCTCATTACCATACACTCATCGCTAATTGCTCGCATCTCCGGCCGTCGCCGGTTCGAAGCAGGGAGCCGAGAATCGTCGCGTTGAAAACAGAGGACGCGAATTTGTACTCGGCTGCAAATATTTTCTTTTCACGCTCGCGTGCCTCGGCATAAAGGAGAGAAGGGCAAAGTGCGGTGACTTTTGTTTCTGCTATTCGCTTTGTTACCTACAAGACCGACCTTTCTCGAGCGAAAGAGACTTTTCATTAAATTCCTCCCGAGAAAATAAGAAAAAGACGCTGGCAAAGTTTGTTCCTCTCGGCACTTGACTATAGAAATGCACACGACAGTTTTGCAATTAGGATTTTTTTGTGCGGCTTCTCATTTTTATCCTCTCTGCTTTTAAAAAAAGTTGCTCGTCTCAAGAAAAATTGTTCAGAGGAAAAGAAACATTAAACGAGCTTTTCATTAAAGAAATTTCCTTTCCATTCCTTGAAAAAAAATTTTTTTGGGAAATTAAATTTATACTCACTGCGAAATCCTCTGCCCGTTCCAGCACTCGGCGTGCGTGTCTGTCTCGGCAAAGCTGTCGTCCGCGCAGATGGAGTCGGACAGGCTGGAGAAGAAGCCCTTAGACCTGATCAGGCTGACCAGCACCTGTCTCGCCAGGTTGGACAGCTGCGTCTCCAGCTCGTACTTGTTGTCCTTCTTCAAGGACAGTTTTGACGCCTTGGACGGAGCCGTTTTGGGCGACTTTTGGTGTTTCGGGGTGTCCTGCAACTGCACCGGCCCGCACGCAGATTTCACCTGGAAAAAAATATAAAAAAAAAAAGAAAATTATAATGTAATTTTATATGAAAAGCAAAATAATCTATAAGAACATTAAATTATAAATAAATAATACTTTCAAGTGGAAGGAAAAATGATTTGATTTTTCCTTTTTTTTTTTGCATTTCATTATGTGGATTTGATGCATTTTGTTGTTTATTTGTCTGAATTGTTAGGACATTGGCTTATTGAACAAATGACAACACCACTAGTTAGATAATTTTATTTTTAAATTACAGTAATTTGACGAAAATATAGAAGGAATAGATTGTAATTAGTAATAATAATCTTTGTAAAATTTAATAATACTGTTTTAAAATTATTTTTTCATGTTTTTTTTAATCAAAAAAAGTTCAGTCACCTGATCAATTCGACAGATTTTTTCGCATGACGTGGTTTATTTTATAAAATTTAAATTTTTATCAAAATTTTACACAACTTTTTATTTAAAAATTAAATTATACCTTGATTTATTTTAGACACCAAATTTATATAAAATTCTTCACAATCTTTAGTTCTAAAGCTTTGCAGTTGAAATTGGTTTAAATCTGCTCATTGTCAGCCGCAGCATAGTCTGCTGTGTGGTTCACTTAGCTAACCAGTGTTAATAAGCGCAAGCATTGTTGTGGAATTTTGCAGCGGCTTAATTGCACTGGGTCGGCCTAGTTAGTCGGTGAGGTCTTTTGGATTATTTTCACGCCGGCCGGCAAAAGTGCCGCTTCCTTTCTCGTCGTTTGTCCTTTGACCCTTTTGCAAATGAGCTCGACGACACGCACGCCTACAAGCAAGAGGCCGCCCTTGTGCTTTTCTCGCGTCACATGCGAAAAGCAGCAGCAGAGTTTGTCAGCGGCGGTAAATGGAAATCCAGCTTGTGCAGACGCTTAACTCGTGAATATTAAGCGCGCCCAAGTGAGCCCTCAGGCAGCCGGCTAGACAAAACACCAAAAGGGTTGCAAACGCACGCTCACGTACTGAGCGAGCGGCGCAAACGAGCACCCGACTTTTTGCCTTTCCACTCGGCGCGTTTTTCCGCCCGCCCCGCTTTTGCTGACTAATGCAAGTGACAGCGGCAGGAAAATTCGAGCGAGACAAATAATGCGACACACCCAAAATTAAATATTTTTTAAAAGAGTGGTTAGTACTAAAAGTGCGCATAACACTCTATGATTGATTTCAAATTACTTTCTTTGCACCTTTTACACTTTAGATGATTATTTCGCATGAACTGAAAATATTTCCTTATTAAGCATGCAAAACTATCTAAAATAAAAAAAATTAAAAAAAAAGATAAGGCGAAATGTTCAAGGCATAAATTACTCTGAATAAAATTTACAAAAGATAAAAAAAATGTAAATCAAGCTATAAAAAGGATTGTTATCAACGAGTAGAAACTTTTTTATTGTTATCTATCCGTCTAAATTGTTAAAAAAATACATTGAATATAAAAAGAAAACAAATTTAATATTAGGTTTTAATTTTGAATTTATGAAATTTCTTTAAAATTTCTGGTTAATTATAATTGATGATTTCCATTAGTTTTAATGCCTCAATGCTTCTTATCCAAAATTGTTGTTTGTTTTGCTTAGAATTTCAACAAACAAAAAATTCCCATTTGAACATTCTGCGTGTGAACTGGCGAGAGCACGTTATGCGTATTTTGCTCCTCCTGGCTGTCGCGCACAACTCGCAAATTGTAAACACCAAGGGACATGAGAAAATTCAGTCGCCGCGCCGACCGTTTCATGTATGACGTCAAGTGGAGAGCTGCTGTGTGTTCTGTACTCCACATTATTGAATGTAATTTTGTGTGTTTGCATTATCAGCCGTGCGTGTACTGATGTGTGTGTGTTTATTGCGGAGAAATCATCGGCATTTTTTCCATCCCACTTTTGGCGAGCGCTGCTCAAGCGCACTTGGTGGCAATATGGAAATGATAAACACCCATAAATTATCCTGCATTAAATCAAAGTCGAGCTCTTCTCTCTCACTCTTTTTGTGTTCAGCTGCTCTTGCGCCGCTTGGTGATAAGAAAAGGGAAATTTATTGGATCCGAGATTGCTCGTCGGCAAAGGAGAAAATTCGGGGTGCGGAGCTTTGTCCTCCTGCCATTTATTAGTCGCATGCCAATAAGCTGTTTATTCACCCCGCGAGCCTCATAAATAATAAACTCGTATGAATTTTAATTTGCCCTGTTTCATGATATCAAATTACGGAAATGTTACTGCATTGAGTCGTTAATCAGAAGAATTTAAATTAAAAGTTACTTGAATTAATTCAAGCTAAATTGCATCTCATCACTTTCTATTTCTAGATATTATCCTTATTGAATTTATGAATCAAAAAGCAAACGTTTTCTTCTAACAACAAAAACTAGAAATAATTTTCAAAATCTAAGAAAGTTTACACAAAATTGAAAATTTTCTTATTATCGCTCTTGAAATTTTTTACCGTAGAATAATACAACTCTACAAGGAAACAAGATAAAGTTTTTTTTACATATTTCTAAAAAATATATTGTTCTCCTAACTTTTATTTCAAACATGATAAAGAAGGAACAAATAAAAAACCCACAATTTCTGCAATTATTTCCTTTTTTTTTGAAAATCGTTTGAAAATATGAAAATTATTTATGATGAAACAAACAAATTTGAATCTCTACAAAAGTTCAGCTGACTTTTATTTATAATAATTTTGTCCTCTTTTTAACATTAAAGAATGTTGCAAAGTAAAAAAATGATTCACCTGATAAGCAGCAGGAAACCAAACCCATAATTCCATCTCTTCACAGTAAGTGACTCACGCGAAATTCCATTCCAAATCCTCTAAAATTCAAGTTCATATTTTTTTCTTTACATTTTATACTTTGTCTCTCCCTCTAGACACGACCGTATGTATGCAAATTTCAGGCTGTAAAATTTTCCCACCAGCCTTCGGTTATGCTAAATTTGCAGCGGCAAAAAAATCTCGCACCCAAAAGTTCAGCGGGTCTTAGCGAAAAATTTTTTACGCGAGACCGAGCTGATCGCACGCCGCGGCCGGTCGGCCGATCGAAAATATCAAGACCGCATAAAACCTGATTACAAAGGCTCTTGGCGTGAGAAATATCTTTCTTGGGTGCCAAGAGGCGAAAAGTAGCTGCATTCCTGCACTGAAACTCTATCTTAACGTACACATTGGATCCTTTTCTCTTCATCAGCTGTTGGGTGGGTGCATTTGATCTGCCCCGGTACATTTTTTTTCAACACAAATACCTCTTTCTCTTGGCGGGATCGTTATTTTTTTTTCAATCTAGGAAATGCCGCATTTTTGTCTGCTCGTCTGCCTCGGCCGCCGCCGCCGTGTGATGTAAGCATTAAAAAATCATGCGGATACTTTTCAAGGCTATCGGCTCGAGGGATTGACGTGTAAATTGCGCCGGCGAGAGAAAGAATCGAGACAGCACACCGGGCTTATTTAGTTAGGCAGGCCGGTTGCTCATTGACCATGCAGCAAGCAGTATTTTATTACGACGGGCAATTATATTTTTCCTTAATTTACTTTGCGCCTTCATTTCATTTTGCTCAATTAATGCTAATTTTTGGGCGGCGGCCTCTCTTCTTCATCACACGCTGCAAAAGAAGTTTTGCCAATCTCAAATGGAAATTATTACCAAGGCTTTTATTTATTTATTTAGCCCAAGTTGGTTTTAAGTTTAATTAAAAAAAGAAAAAATATTAAAACTCTATGTTCAAAAATCTGTTGCAAAATAGTGAAAAAATTTCTCTTATGCACCCAATTTCATATTCAAGAAAAAATATTTTTCATTTAAGAAAAGAAATATGCATTTGTAAATTAGTTTGAAATTGGTATGATGATAAATTTATTTAAATAAAGAAAAAAATTATTTCAAAATTAATTGAACCCTCTGAGCTGGAGCAAAAAAAATGAGGTTTCCAATACTCCAATACGTAATGGGCTTAAAAACTATTGGCATTCTTTTTAATTACTGTTTGCACCTGAATAACAGAATAAAAAAAATACTTAACACTGTTACCAAGATAAAGGTAAAACGCTAACCCATATATCATTAAGGCATTCTCAGGAAAATTTGGAATTTTTTGTCGCATTTCACCAACTTGAAAATTCATGGAGAGTTTTGCAAATATCCAGGAAAATTCGTTGAGAGAGAAATTGAAAATAATGTCATTGAAAAATATTAAATTAAATTTATTACATATTTGTAAAAATAAGAATTGATATAATATTTTTAAAAACGATATGAATTTTGCAAGAGCTCCAGCAGCTTTTGCGTGAATTTATTGGAATGGAAGAACGTTTAAATAAGGAAAAAATCCACTTGGATGAATTAAAAGTATACATAAATTAGATCAAAGTGATCGTGTACCGATCGAAACACGTTGGGTTTTACTGCACGGAAGCGTGTAAGCGCCTAGCTGAGCAAACAAATGGGTTTCAAGAGCCAAAAGTTGAGAGCGCGCTGCTCGGAAAACAAAAGCTGCCCGCCATCAATTAGCGGGATATAAAATCAAATGCAAACAAAGCGGGAGCGAGAGAAAGAGCAACTTTTCAATCAACTACTCTTTACGAGCGGCCGCGAGAGATAAAGACTTTTGCTGCTTTTTGACGCGAGCGGCCCTAAAACCCCACAGCGGCCCTTTGTCTCTCTGTCGAACCAAAACACAAATGTATGCGTCGCTGCTTTCCTTCTCTGTTTGTATAATGTGGACGAAAGAAAAACGCAGCAGTGGCGTTTTTATTAAGGTTCCGGTCTCTCTCGCGCGCTGCTGCAATTGAAAAAAACCGACCGGCGAGCGATTTATCACTTTTATTGGCTGGTGTCGCTGATGAAGGCCGGCCAAATAAAAATTAGACGCTACACTGGTTTTTCAACGCGATATTTATTGCCGCATAAAAGCAGGCCACTGTAAAATTGCGAAAAGTCTTAAAAGAAAAGATGAGCGGTTCTCCAGCATCCCCAG